AACTGCAACAGCTTGTTGGTTGGCCATTCGCGCAAGTAGGCAATGCGCTTTTGGCCATTCGAGTCGTGTGAGTAGTGTGATTGAAAGGGCTTCCTTAACGTTCGCTCTGAGACGCCGCACAGGCATTGACGTGTCAGAGATTGCTCGAATTCCAGCATATCATCAATGGTCGATGCGGAGGAGGAAGCGGAGCAGATATTATTGCTACTGCTGCTATTGCTGCTGCTAGTCGTTGTCTGCGTCAGCTCCTTTGTGGCCATTAGCAGTTCGGTTAGCTGCGCTGCTCGATCCACCTCATCCTTGGCAACGTCTTCGCTGCCCTTTTGTGGCAAGATATTGTTGACTAAGTGCTGGACACCGCCCAGTAGTTGCGCATAGGAGGCGGCACGCGAATTACTGGGCGTCGTTGTCGGCGAATTGTTTGTGCTGCTGGACAGCGAATGTGTGGAACAGGACGAAGACAGCGATGAGGATAACAGATGACTTCGATTGTTGCCATTGGCATCCATCACATCCGCTGCCGCTGTCGCCAATATGTCTGGTGGCGATTTTGCAGTAACCAAATGTATTTGTTTATCTATTTTCTGGCGCTTCGTTTGCGGCTGTTCATTGAGATGATTGGTGGAGACATCTGTGCTGGCATAGGCAATGTTTCCATTGCTGCCGCTACTGCTGCTACTCGAATTACTGCTGCTGCTGCTGCTACTGTTGCTGCTGGTGGTGCTGCCCGTTTCTGTGTCCATGTTGCGTGTTGTTGTTTTTTTTAATTATTGACGTACCCGACGTCCTTTTAAATTGTTAAATCGTGCACTGCAAAAAAACGACAGTTTAATTTTTCTTTTCAACCAAAATAAAATATGTATCGAATGCAAGCCAAGCCGAAGTCTTTGGAAGTGCCACCGAATTACGCGTATTCACAAGGTTACGTGTGCATTGAATTTTGTGTGCAACTTGAGCACGTATTTTGTAAACTAGCCACTCGCAGTATGCAACTGAACATTTTGAATGCCATCATTTATCGTTTTCGGGAGTCACATTAATTTAAACATTTTTGGCTACTTGTTGCTCAATTTACCTTTGTAGTGTTTTGTATTTGTTTCACTTCACTGTCGGTTGTGCAGGCGCAGTGCATTATGGATTCGTTCTGCATTCAACTTTCGCGTTTTTGTTGTTTACATTTTATTTTTTTCTTTCGCTTAAGGTTTAAGAGCAATATACAAAAAAAATAACAACTGGCACTGTTAATTAACAAGTAGCGAGCGCGTCGCCATCTTTTTGTAGTGTTGGGTTGTTCATATGCTGGTGCAGTGCCTACACTAACACGTTACGACATGAATGACCAACAAGTGTAGAAGGGTGCCACACACGTTTCGACGTGCATGACACCTGTTTGAATAAGATTCTTTTAAGAAAAATGGTTGTACAGCTATCAAACAACATATAAAATTAAATCAGTATATTTATAAGAATTACCATTACTTATTTTGAGAAGCGTAATAGCTTTTCTTCAAATATTTAAGTTTTATCAACCAAATTTTAAATGCTTCAACTGGCAGCTTTCTAGTCACAGAGCTGCCACATTTTTATAGAACACAAATATCAAAAATGTTCTATTTTCTATTTTATATAAAAATGAACTAATATTTTTCAATCTTTTGATATATATTGAATGCAATAAAATTCAAATTTGAACAGTTTCACAAATTCAATTGGCTCTTTTACTTTGGCACCGTATATGTATTGACAGCGTGGCAACTCTGCAACTTGTTTTTCATTTGACATTGAAGTTGCACACATTTCCAGCAGCTGGCGGGTGGGTAAAAAGGACTACCAGTGCGGTACCATATCGGCAATTAGTATAACAACGGCGCTTTTGTGGAGTTACGCTGTGGGCCGTGCTGCCCAATACCGATTATCAAAAAAGTTGTGCAGCTGTGAAATCGACTCAGTTTTAATCACATTTAAGTAAAGTGTTATCTCTTTTGCTTGTGCAGTTGAATTTTGTATTTGTTTGTGTCAACTTGTGTTAACAAAACCTTCGAAAGGAAAATGGCTGGTACCCTGCCCCCGCTTAATCAAGAGCCGATTTTCAAGAAACTCCAGGAATACTATGATCTGCATAACAAGGAGCTCATCATTAAGGACCTGTTCATCAACGATCCTAAACGCTTCTCAAAATACAGGTGAGTTCTTACGGTTATCTATACATAAATAAAATGAATGAATGCCGATGCAAGTACATTTCGGACTTCCGTGTGTGCGTATATCTGTATGTTATACACACATTTATTTGAATGTATTAATTGGGCGGTCAAATCGCTGAGCTTTGGGTTTTGGGATAAGAAAAGTGTTGGATAATTATTCGAAATTAGGATTTGATAAGCAATAATGTTATAACGTTTTTGGTAATCTAATAATATATAATTCTTATTTACGTCAAGTTATCAAATTATCTTTGTCCTTGCTTAAGGTCACAGCAATGACTTTTATACCCTTGCAGGAGTATTATGATATCGTCATTAAATTTGTTGTTGATATGCCGAAGATTGTATATAGTATATATGTGTATTTATATTTTTGTATGTACATATATTTATTGCTAATTAATATAACCTCAGTATTGCGAATAGTTTGTATTTTGTATTTTCCACGTTTTAAAACTATTTTCCAAAACAATATGTTCATTACTGATTTTACAAAGAAGAATCAATATACATACGTACATATTTAATGAAGTATTTCATAATAATCGTCGAATATTACAATTAATATTACTTTAATATTTGCTAGTGTATTTCCAATTCAACTTTCGCTTTTTTCAATGCCATATCCCAATATCAATTCAAACTTGGTTAAGGTCAAATAAATTACTTTCCATCAATTAATAATCAATTCTATTTTATTTGCTTTTGGTCAATTTAGTTTGCGATTGTCAACGCCCAACGATGGTGAAATTCTGCTGGATTATTCAAAGAATCGTGTGAATGAGGAAGTATGGCCTCTGCTGCTGGAGTTGGCGAAGGTGCGACGCGTTGAGGCGGCACGGGATGCCATGTTCGGCGGACAGCACATCAATATAACCGAAAATCGTGCTGTTTTGCATACGGCCTTGCGTAATCGCGGTGGGGAATCGGTGCTCCTTGATGGTAAGGATGTGATGCCTGATGTACGCGCTGAGCTGGCGCATATGAAGGAGTTCACCAACAAGGTCATCTCTGGCGTTTGGCGAGGCTGCACCGGCAAACAAATCACCGATGTGGTCAACATTGGCATCGGTGGCTCCGATTTGGGTCCACTCATGGTCACCGAAGCGCTGAAGCCCTATGGCAAGGGCTTGCACTCGCATTTCGTATCGAACATCGATGGCACCCACATGGCGGAGGTACTGAAAAAGGTCAACTATGAGACAACGCTGTTCATCATTGCGTCCAAGACCTTTACCACACAAGAGACGATCACAAATGCCACTTCGGCCAAGACCTGGTTGCTGGAGCATGCCAAGGATGTGAGTTTACCAAATCTTTGAGAGATAATGTCAGTGATTAATTAACGTAATTCGATTTATAGGAGGATTCGGTGGCCAAACATTTCGTTGCCCTGTCTACAAACAAGGAAAAGGTAACCGCGTTCGGTATCGACAGCGCTAACATGTTCGGCTTCTGGGATTGGGTGGGCGGACGCTACTCTCTCTGGTCTGCCATTGGCTTATCCATTTGCTTGTCTATTGGCTTTGAGAACTTTGAACAGCTGCTCGAGGGTGCATACTATATGGATAATCATTTCCGCACCGCACCACTGGCGAAAAATGTAAGTGAAGCGATTCGTTGACATGTAATTAAATATAAATTAACATAATGCAATTTGCACATTTCGCAGGCACCCGTTATTCTGGCTCTGCTTGGCATTTGGTATTCCAATTTTTATAATGCCGAGACGCACGCTCTACTGCCATACGATCAGTATATGCATCGATTTGCCGCATATTTCCAACAGGGCGATATGGAGAGCAATGGCAAATTTGTCAGCAAATCGGGCAAGAAAGTCGGCTATAATACGGGTCCAATTGTTTGGGGCGAGCCAGGCACCAATGGCCAACATGCCTTCTATCAGCTCATACATCAGGGCACACGCTTGATTCCGTGCGATTTCATCGCACCAGCACAGACGCACAACCCCATTGCCGGTGGCAAGCATCACAAGATATTGCTCTCGAATTTCCTAGCTCAAACGGAGGCCCTTATGATGGGCAAGACTGCCGATGAGGCCAAGGGCGAGCTCTCCAAGGCGGGCCTGTGCGGTAACGAGCTGGAAAACTTGTTGCCCCATAAGGTCTTCGTTGGCAACCGCCCGACCAACTCGATTGTGGTCAAGAAAGTCTCACCCTTCACTTTAGGTGCATTGATTGGTAAGTTGACTGTAAATAAATCTAAATGTTCATTACAATAACGTTTACCTAATTTACTTTGCAGCCCTCTATGAGCACAAGATCTTTGTGCAGGGCATCATTTGGGACATCAACTCGTTCGATCAATGGGGCGTCGAGTTGGGCAAACAGCTGGCCAAGGCCATTGAGCCAGAGCTGGACAACTGTGAAGAGGTCACCAGCCATGATAGCTCCACAAATGGCTTAATCAATTTCATCAAAGCCAACTGGAAGTAAATCGCGCGCATCTCTAAATTGACAGTTACGTCTTTTACTTATTTATATACTCGCGCTTTGAAATTCTGTTCTTAGGCACAAAATTCAAACTATACTATATTTGCATGCATATTGGAATTATAAAGACGCATTTTGTTTACAAATTGGCGAATTATCTCACTTTCGGTAGTTATATTATATTACACAGGTATATATGTTGTTGTTGAATGTAGCTAAATTACATGTAAAACAGTTAAAAAAAAAAGAAGAGTGCATAATATTTAAAGCATCAAATGTATTTGAAACAAAAGCTTTTGTATTTTATTTATTTCTGGGCAGGAGAAGGGAAATTTGATATTATTTAACCCCCCGACGCATCTGTGTCTCTGTCTGTGTCTGTGCCCTCTGCATCATTATCATCGTCGTCAGATGAATTCTGTGTTTCTATAAGATCCTCCTCATCAGCTGCTAAATCATCATCGGCCTCCATTAGATCATCATCTAAATCGTTGTTTTGATTGGTGTCATCCTCCTCCTCTTCCTCCAAATCACTCCAATCCTTTTCGCCCGTTTGCGTGGCATTTTCTACAGATTGATTTATATTTATTATTAACAGAATTCACATAAATATTAAAAAATAATATTACCTGGATCCTCATCTATGATTAGAGCATTTTGAGAATTCAAATCATTGCTCGCATTCCGTTTCATTTGACTTATAATCAAGTTGACTCGACCAGAAACTCTAAAATACAACAAAATTTATACAATATTAAGCAATTGAAAATCACAATAAACTATTGTTAAGGAACATTAGTATCATATTTCTAAAACTCCGTAGTTAGCGAATACCACAAAATTATCTACTGCTATTTCAGCATTTCTCTTTAATTGTTAATTTTAGTGAAATTATAAAATCAACTGGCAATATGTCATCAAATAGCCGCGATTCTGCACAAAACACTAGGGCTCCCGAAGCGGATGAGTTGATGAAGTCCGTTGCCCAGTGTAACATGCCGCTGGGTGATCATGCAGATATTCAAGTCGTTTACGATATGATTGACGCAACCATCTGTGCAGCTATTAAAATAATCGAATCTGATCCGCGTGGGCTATTTTGCTACAAGTACCCGGCGGAATTTTACAATTACTTTGACATGATGGGACCGAATACACCCTCAATGAACTTAAGTGAGCCGTCAAGTGATTTCGTGCAGCAGTGGCTGAAAATCAGTGACTTTGAGTATAGCAATGTGTTGGCTGTTATTCGGGACTTTATCGCCAAATGGCATTTGTCGCCAAATACTAAATGTGTTGTCCTCACAAATAATCGACAGCACCATGTGCCTCTGAAGGGCTCCATTTACTTTGTCGACGCTCACTTCTCGCGGCCCACACAACGCTGTCCCAATCCCTTGGCCGTGGCCAAGATTCGATTCATCATTACTGTGTCGAGTATCATGCAGAGTTATTATCCAGTGATGATTACATATCGTTTCGAAGGATTTCGCACGCTATATTATGCTGTGGGTGACCGGGCGATTCCAACAAATACATTTCAAAGATTTTACATTGACACCATCTTGCATAACAAGCTAAGTTTCTATGCGGAGATCTGTGAGTGTCGTCATGGTACCACCGACAAGCCAAAGAATAATATTGCTGACAAGAAAGAATGTTGAATATACACATACATATATCACAATTTTTCTCAGAAAATGTAGTTATTGTAACTGAGTTGGGATTGAGAGCGATATGGGGAGATCTACAGACAGATTGTAACGACAAATTTGTTCTAAGTTTTTCCTCTAATATCTCTTCTGAGCCTTTCCCTTTATTACCTTTATTCCAAGTCCTTTATATAAGAACTTCTGCCAATTCTTTCCTCTAGGTATTTCTTCTAAGGATTTCCTGTACGAATTTCTTCTCAGTATTTCCTTTAAAAATTTCTTCTAAGTGTTTTCTTCTAAGAATTTCTTCTAAGTGTTTTCCTCTAAGAATTTCTTCCAAGTGTTTTCCCTAAAGAATTTCTTCTAAGTATTTGCTGTAAGAATTTCTTCTTCGACTTTCCTCCAAGTATTTCTTCCAAGTCTTTGATGCTTAGCTGAACGCGCATAGAATTCACTTCACTTCACTTTACTTCACTGCACAACTGACCCCCACCAGGCCTGGGCGACTGAAGAAATGCTGCTGCTGTCGCCCTTTATATAGAGCGCCTTTCTTTCAGCCCTAAAGCGCTCAAATGTTGAGGCCGACGCTGAGTAGGCGCCGTTGCAGTTGAGCTTTGATCCACCAATGAAAACACGCTCTCTTACTGGGCCTGGGCGACTGAAGAAATGCTGCTGCTGTCGCCCTTTATATAGGGCGCCTTTCACTCAGCCCTAATGCGCTCAAATGTTGAGGCCGACGCTGAGTAGGCGCCGTTCCATTGGAGCTTTGATCGACCAAACACGCTCACTAGCCCTGGGCGACTGAAGAAATGCTGCAGCTGTCGCCCTTTATATAGGGCGACTTTCTCTCAGCACTAATACGCTCAAATTTTGAGGCCGACGCCAGTTAGGGATCGTTGCAGTCGCTCATTAACTGGCCAATGGGAACACGCGCTGCTGCTGCAAGCTCTCTAGCTTCGTTTTACTCAAATATAAGTACCAAATGAAAACTCCTGCATACAGACAGAGAGACAGAGAGACGGATATACAGACAGACATACGGACAGATATACCTCGGTTCTCTGCTAAATGTTAATATGTTAATTAGCTTAATATTTATAATTATTAGATGGCATAGACAGCACTTTTTCTCTTCTATAGTTCTCTTAAGGACTAGAACGTCTATAGCATCGACATATTTGGATAATGGGATTCGATTGTAGGACTTACTGCATGGCTTCCGTAATGCAAAGTAGACGTTGCTCCGCAATGCCTAGGCAAATGCCCAGCTTATCACGCAGTTCTTCTTTATCCTCGGACATCATGATACTCGTATGAGTTGTAGCCAAGGTTTGCAACCAGCGCAGAGCACATTTTACACTGAAATCAAATATTTACATACATGACATTTACATTTAATAATATAATTAACATTCCATTACTCACCTCGCAGCCTTGCCTTGTAGCAATTTGGACAGCTCGTTGATTAGCGGGCCTATATACTCAAGAGGTAAGCGATCAATTGTTAGTTGCACTGTCTTCTCATCGTCTGAGGCCAATACGGTTCGCAACATGCTTCAAGGAAAATAAATATGGGTGTAATGAATTAAACTAAAGCTCCGTAGCTTACTTTTGATCCTGGCTGTGCAGAGCCTGCATCAACAGCTGCGTCTTGCTCTGACTTTGCAGTTTGCCGTCCGGCAACTTCATTGCCTGGAGCGACAAATTCTGCAGCCGTGCCTCCATGGGCACATCGTTCCGTACCTTCTTATTCGACAAGGGCAAGGCGCTATTGTACTCCACCTCATTGTGGCTCACAATTGGTACTTGAGCCTTCAGCGCAGCTTCTGTTCCCTGCTCACTCCGCTTATTCTTGGCGAACAGCTTCTTCGGCTCGGCGCGAACGATAACATTCAGTTTCTCAGCATAGTTTGGAGTGTAGCGCTCGAATTGCAGCAGGCGTCGACTTCCATAGCCGAAGAGTATCTCTTCTGAGCGTTGAGCATCTTTGACAAAATGAGCGGCGATGGCATGAATCGGCTCCACTGTGTTAGCACCATCCGAAGCGATTTGCAACGAGACCTTTGGCTTGATATATTTCTCAGCAGAGATGCTGTAAACAACAATTCATAAATATGAGACAAAGATACTATAAATGGGGAACACTCACCTTTCCGCGTTGAGCAAGTAGATGTGAATGTTGCCATTGCGTGTCACACTCGCTATACGCAATTGTCCATCATCGCGCACTTCGCACGCCAAACTGTGTGCCACATCCTCCATTAGGAGCGTGCATACCGAAGCCTTGTTTCTGCCTTTTCTATCAATTTTCCAGAAGGAAATAACACGCTCCATTCTGGCCGTTGTTATTACATATTCATTGTCGCCGCATTCAAAGCTGTTGATTGCATTAATTTCGCCTGAATGTCCGGTGAATGTTTCCACCAGCTCCTTCTTGTCTATATCATAAACTTTCAGCTGCCGTGAGGCAACGGCCAGAGTTCGACTTTTTGGCAGAATCGCAACATACAATGGTTTCTCGGGTCCAACCAACCATTGGCGAATGCAGCGTTCGTTGGCTACGGACCACTCCATTGCTTTGCAGTCTGAGCCCACAGTATAAAGATGTCCATCATTGTCGTAGGTAATGGATGAGACTGCTCCATCGTGTTTATCGCCTTTGAAAACTCGGACAATCTACAAAGAAATTTAAGGTAATGAGTTGATACTCATACAAATTAATGAAAGTATTCATAATACCTTTCCCTCTGCCACCGAAAAGAGCACAACTGTTCCCTTAGACGTGCCAAGTGCTATGTAATGTTCACCGATAGGTGTGGAATCGTCTAGTGGTTGCGATTTCCGTGACTTCTTTGAACGCGGTGCATTTATTGATATCCATGTGAGCGCCGTGCAATTGCCGGATAAGTGTAAGTTTGGTGTGAATTCCTGCTTTAATGCATTCGCCTCGGTGTCCCATACTCGTAGGGTGCCCTGTTCATCAATTACTGCAAACAGTTTCCCACCATTTGATGAGAATCCCAACACGTGCTTCTTGACCAGCGACATCGCTTCAAATCGTTTGGAACAGAAAACACCAGATCCAGTGTTCGTTAACAAAACATTAAAAACGACCAAGTGTGTTGATATTTTTCTTAGTATGTATATTTCCCCAACAAAATACTTAATAAATACAAACGCGCAAAGGCATGCGTATGTTTATGCGATGCAAGAGCATATAATATCATATGAGATTGTAGATTACGGTTACATTGGAATTGAAATCAAATATTTAATCGTAAACAAAAACTGAACAAGCCTTTATATAAGTTATATTCATCATTTAAGATCCTTAATATTAATAGATTTTAAATCTGTCTTATCGATTAACGCACAGAAATACCTTTTCAGTATTATCGAATGCATGAAATCAGTATTTTTGTTTTTAAAGAACCAGTGTGCAATCGAGAAACTTCGTTGACTACACTTTGAGGTTAAGCGTACTGCCTTGACTGATTGACTTGCTTTAGCTGCTTTTCGAGTTTTGTTGAATATCTGTGAATAAAAATGGCTTTATCTGTACCAAAAGCACCGGGAGTGGCGCAAATGTTAAAGGATGGCGCCCGGGTAAGTGAAATACATATGAAAATTAAGAAATTATACTTGATTTCATTGAAATTGAAATAATAAAAACCGCCGGTGTGTTTTTTCCAAGCGCGTGATTAGTCATCGCAGATGTTCATTTACAATGCATTAATGACATGATGTATGCAATTTTTGTAGATGTACAGTGGTCTGGAGGAGGCAGTCTATCGCAACATCACTGCCTGCAAGGAGTTCTCACAGACAATGCGCTCCGCCTACGGCCCAAATGGCATGAACAAAATGATCATCAATCACATCGAGAAACAGTTCGTGACCAGCGATGCGGGCACCATTATTCGGGAGCTGGATGTTGAGCATCCGGCTGCCAAGCTGATTGTAATGGCCAGTCAAATGCAAGATGCCGAGGTGGGTGATGGCACGAACTTTGTTGTTGTATTGGCTGGTGCGCTGCTCGAGTCGGCGGAGGAACTGCTTCGACTGGGCATAACCACAGCGGAAATTGCCGATGGCTATGAGAAGGCATTGAATAAGTCTTTAGAGATACTGCCAACTCTAGTCTGTCACAAAATTGAAGACTATCGCAATGTTGACAAAGTAAAGGAGGTGATTCGTTCGGCCATTATGTCGAAGCAGTACGGCCAGGAGGATTTCCTCACTGATTTGGTTAGCAAGGCGTGCGTTTCCATATTGCCCGATGAGGGCACCTTCAATGTAGACAACATACGCATCTGTAAGATCTTGGGCAGTGGATTGGGTGCTTCAGAGGTTGTGCGCGGCATGGTCTTCAAGCGCTTTGTTGAGGGTGATGTCACCTCTGCCGAAAAGGCGAAAATTGTAATTTTCTCCTGTCCAGTCGATATCATTCAAACGGAGACAAAGGGCACAGTGCTGATCAAATCAGCCGATGAGCTATTGAACTTCTCTTCTGGAGAGGAAAGTTTGCTGGAGAACCAAATCAAGGCCATTGCCGATACAGGTGTTAAGGTTGTCGTTTCTGGTGGTAAGGTTGGAGATATGGCCTTGCATTTCCTAAATAAATATGGTTTGATGGCTGTTCGCTTGAATTCCAAATTCGATTTGCGTCGCTTGAGCCGTACCGTGAATGCCACAGTGCTGCCAAGGATTACAACTCCTAGCCAGGAAGAGTTGGGCTATTGTGATAAGGTGTGCATCGAGGAGCTGGGCGATACCACAATTGTGGCATTCAGGTAACCATTGCTTATGCCCATTGTGAAATTAAAAATATTTAATAAGTATGTTTTATATTTTCTAGAAATGAAGGCAAGGATTCACGCGTTTCTACAATTGTCATTCGTGGCGCTACAGATAACTTCATGGATGACATTGAGCGCGCCATGGATGATGGCGTCAACAATTTCAAATGTCTGACACGTGATGGACGCTATCTGCCAGGTGCGGGCGCTACTGAAATCGAATTGGCCACACAGTTGGCTGCTTATGCGGACACTTTGCCTGGACTCGATCAATATGCAGTGCGCAAGTTTGCTAACGCCTTGGAAGTCTTCCCCAAAGCTCTGGCCGAAAACTCCGGCTCTAATGGCACAGATATTGTGAATCAACTCTATCTGGCGCACAATTCCGAGAATGGCAAGAACATTGGCTTCGATATCGAAGCTGAAAAAGCAACCACCATCGATGCTGTTGAAGCGAAGCTCTTCGATCTGTATCAAGCCAAATTCTGGGGTCTCAAGTATGCTGTGGGCGCTGCTACAACCATTTTGAAAGTGGATCAGATCATCATGGCCAAGCGAGCTGGTGGACCTAAACCAAGACAAGCTGCTGGCAGCGATGATGAGAGTTAAATCGTCATCCAAATTGAAAACCTTACAAAAATTTCAAGTTTCGCTGAAATCTATAACTTCATTATTTTAGTGGCAAATAATAAATGCTCTTACATGTATTTTTGTAGGCACACATTTGAAATTATAAATTTCATTAACAAATCCCACACACACACATACAAAAACAACAAAATGCAACACACTCACACAGCTTCTTTGTATTAATAAACTAAAACTTTAACGGAAAAAATGTATTTGTTTTTATATATAAAAAAAAAATAGTTGAAGTAACCTAAGGCATCAAATATATTTATTTGAATGCACGGAATTAAATTATATATATAGTTTTTATATTATTATAATGGCTTATATTATAAAGGCTTTCATTTTGGTAACACTGAAATCAAAGACAGTTTAAGTGTTTTTTGTCTCCGCTAGATAACTCATCTAAGCTTTTTATTTTTGGAATTCAAGCAAACGATTATTTGTTGATTTTTTTGGAGTACATTGCATACTTATATCAGATACAATTGAATATTTGTTTTGGTTCGAATAAAATACGATATCGTTGTTGTTTTCAAAGATTGAAGTTAATAAAGTTTTTAAAGTGTTATCTCATTTTTCTAGGGTATTCGTGCTATTATATATATTCAATAAATTTCTTGTAACTTTGACTTGTTTTTCTTTTTAACAGTTGTAAATATTAATTTTAAGATTCAATGTTTGTGAAGTGGAAAACAAAACAAAAACTATCCGTGCTCCATTGGATATTTTTTGCTTTGTTTCCCAGCAAACTTGAATTCTTTTTTATTCATGAACAAATTAAATTAAGGCTTTAGAAATGCGATATTCATATGAAACAATCAATGAATCTAAAATTGTTCTTTCATTATTATTTTTTATTTCTGAAAATTCACTTTTAACCCAACTGCAGTTTTGGTATTAAAAGTTTGGAAAACCTTCCGCTCTTCGAGTGGGGAATTTAAATTCAATTTTGAACAATTTTCTGCTGAATGCTCACGACAGCAGAACAGAGTTCAAAATCTATTTGAAGCGATCGAGAATGATATCTCTTTCCTTTTGAATAACGTGTGACCCCAATTGCTAATATTTTGCTTAAATACATTAATGGAAGAACCTATAAATTATTAATTTGTAATATCTTTGTCGACAAAGCAAATCCATATTATCTTAATATTGAATTTATTTATTTATTTGATTTCAAATGGTATTTGGTGAATATGGAAGTTTCAATGCAGCGTTTATGTTCAAATAATACATGGCTGCATTTACTATGGTGAATTTGAGGAGTATGGAACTTTGAATGATGCTCCACTGGTGAAATGCAATTTGATGAATATGGAAATCTGAATGTTTCCTTCTATCAGGAAGAACCGTTTTGTCACATTCCAATACCCTACAAATATGCCCATTACCATTTAGAGTGTAGAAAAATAACTCAGCTTAATATATATATGCTTTGCCATTCATGCCAATTACGTTTCGGTTTGTTAATCCTTTACAAAAATATAGGCTCAACCGTGGACAAATCAATTGATAGTTTTATTCGATAACAGACGTTTTTGCAAAGTCAACAAAGTTATTACTTAAAACAAGTACTGAATGCAAGTAATCTGAGTGCATTTCTTACTTTTTGGCTCAATTTTATAGTAGAATCACACATACTTAAAATTTGATTTGGAAAAATTGAATATTGAAGAAACAATTTTCGACATCATTTGCGAGTTTCATAGAGATCAAAAATTTAAATTTATATAAATTATCATTCATTATTGCATTATAAAATAGTGGCATGAATTGCCTGTTAATAATCAAAAAGACGAAAGACTACATTTTAGATATATATTAATATATATATTTTTGCATTTATATATTGCGTTATTGCAACGATTTGTTGCTGTAATATTGTTTTGCTAATAAAAACGTTGGATAATTAAACTCACTAAAGCTGATCTAGGTTGCTTGCCTGATTTTAAAGCTTTTAAAGTAATCATATATAGTTTGTTGAATCCGCTTAGCTGGGACTTGTAAAGGCTAATTATAATATTCATTTCATCTTGATTATAACATACTACGTAATTCGAGTATGCTTAACAACGTGAACAGATTAGCTTTTAAATAAGTGGGCGAAAAAATGAGTGTTTCGAATTTTTGGTTTGTGATTCATTTATTTGTGTGTTGTACTATGATTTAATAAATATATTTGAAGTGTTATATTTATATATATTATTTAGATATAGATTTCATAGGTAGTTGTTGCTATATAGTCCGCACTTTAATTGTCCTTCAAGTTGGGATGTTCGTGTACACTGGATGCTTCACTATATATATTTCTATGCATATATAGATAAAGAAGGTTTCTGCTGATATTTTCCGAATAAATGCCAAGGTTTATATCCTTTGAAGAGTTTGAAATTTCAATTGCTGTTATGTTGTTTGTTTTGTTACTTTTTATAGGTATTTAATAGACCCTTTTAATGTTGTGTTTTGCTAAAAATATTGCTTTTGTAATATGTATTTGTAATTTCTTGTTGTTGGTGTGTTCTATAAATATTCATGTTTAGCTGGTGGTGTCAACTTTTGTTATTGTTCAAGTTTATTTATCTGATTTAATTTGGGTGCTTGTGTTTTATAAAGAACTTAAAAACGAAATACATAAATCATCCGTCGATCCATCCAAAAAGCCCTGCTTAAAGAGCAGTGCACGACGACTTCTCACGGAATGGGTTTACCTTCTGACTGGTGAAGCCAGTCAATAGATAATCCTCCTGCTCATGCTCCGATATATACTTCTTCATTTTATCGCACGATACCGACACGGATTGCCTATCGATCGCAGCCTCCCGGCGTAGCTGTTCAACGACAATGCGCTGCTGTTGTAGGGAAGATGACATTACGTCCATCACGGCTGTCTCGGATAGGCCTATGGTTGAAAATGTTCTCAGATACGATATGCAAATACAATACAGTAAGTGTAGTTGGTGATTGTGTGCTTATTTAGCTGCTTGTGAGGTTTTCGAAATTGTCTTGATTGCTTTTATTTTATGTATATATTTTTTCTTATTTTTGGATGAATGGAGGGGTCGCGCTGTAAATGTAGTAAGAAAAAACAGAGCAAATGCCAAAAAAATATATTGTTTTAAAATAGGTTTTTTAATTTTTAAAATTGGCACGGACAGTGGGCACGACATTGAGTACATATACACAGGAAGTTGGACAGCTTGAAAAGAAGTATGAGGTCTAGAGAGAATTGTGTTAGATAGCTTTTAACAAAGTTGTAGTTGTTCGTTAAATAGGTTATTTAGTTCCAAGTTCACGTTCACATCCAAGTGCACACGTATGTATGTATGTATGCATGTATGTAAATATAATAATTCCCTTATGTTAATATAACTTTATTGCTTATATATGATATCATTTTCACCATAACACCACAGCGCGATGACTGGTTGATTGCATTTATAGGGCTTCACATTTAAATATAGTATATTTTGTTTTTTTCTCAATCTTTCGAATTGATTTTATTTGATATGCAAAATTTATAGGCACACATACATGCATACATATGACTACATATACACGTCCATCTTGGCTTAAAACTAACAGTTTTGGTTAATAGAACACACACAAGCACAACTACAATTTAATAACGAAATTTTTACAACATTTACCAGCTTTATGTCAATTCTTTTTTTAAGTTTCCGAAAAATGGGTCCAAGTTCGTTTGACTCGAACAAAAAGATACACACCCAAACCAATGAAACGTGAAGTTTGCTGCGTGTAGCCGCTATTCGATATCGATTGCGTGCTAAGAAAATATCGGTATACTACATGTGAGTGCAAGCACGTACACGCATCCATCCCTCGATGCCCGACTTTAGTGCAATGATGATGGCGAAGGACGAATGGTCCGCTGAAGAGGAGTTGCAGCTCTTCCACGCCATGGAAGGTCTGCGACCCGTGGGTATAAATAAACATTTCTACATGTCTTGCATTTCGGAACGCCTTTCAAAATCGCTTAACCGTGAAATGCCCAGCGACATAATCTGGAGACATTTAAGTACAATGTACAAATTAAAAGAGCTCGATGATCTTGAAGGCTTGCCATTTCCCAATGAGGAGCGTGAGTTTTGTTTGCCGGAACAGGATTACGCCACATTCGTAAATAAAAAGACGATTGGAACTAACGCAGTTGAAGAAAACACAGATGCACCGGCTTCCACTGGGGCCCCGGTCCCACCTGCAGCTACTGATAGCAATAGTAAAAGTAAGTCACGTAAACCAATTGTAAATTCTATTTTTGTATAATTCTATATCGGTCGAATTTCAGGCACTAAACATCCAGTGGTTCAATCGAAAGACAGCGAAAAGAAGATGCCGGCGAAACTCTCGGATTTGCCGAAAAGACCTGCAAAACGAACTCGTGGCTCGATGTCAAACGAATCTATAAGCCCATCAACCACACCTCCACCCATGCAAAGCAGCAAGCGCCGTCGTATTTAAAAGATCAAATAGATATCATTTTATTAGTTGTAGTTAAATAATGACCAAACATTGACTTAATTATTAAATGTATATATATATAGAATATTCAATCATCGAAGTCACTATTGCTGGACTCCGTTTCAGTTGACTCCTCCGGTTCTGTTGTGGATTTCATCGAGTCCAGCAACGATTTCAACAAGCGTTTATTTAGGTGATCCGTTTGTGTGATCTCACGTACGGGTGGGTCCTGGGGTGCATTGTTTGTTTCTGTCGTTGGCGCAGGTGGCGTGTTTACAGGCATGGCATCAATGTTCTCCAATAATGGCATACTAGCTATATTATTAAATTATTAAAATTTTTTACTTCTGAATGTTTGTATTTCTCTCAATATTTTCTTTTCTATGACAGCTCTATGACACAGCTGCTAGGGCTGTAGCAGTAAGACAAATTGTCGAATTTAACATATCGTTAGCCCTGGTAGATAACCGCTCTGCTTGTTTGTGAAATCACAAAGTTCGCGCCTGAATTTATTTGAAAATGAGTATATGTTTCTCTTGTAGCAAAAACATTAGGTGGTTCTGTCTGTATATCTATCTCTTTGTCTAACAAGAGCAAGGGATTGCAGAAGATCATTAAATGCAGAGCAGAGCGTGTTCCCATTGGTCACTCAAAGAGAGGCTGCATCGACCACTGAAAGCAAAGGGCTCAACATTTGAGAGCGCCTTAGCGTCAGTGTGTCTAAGCCTGTTAGTGTCGCCCTATATAATGGAGCAGCTACAGCTTTTCTTCAGTCGTCTAGGCCTGGGAAGATCAGTCGTGCGGTGCAATACTTTGAAGTGAAGTTTGTGATCGTTCAGCTATTAGATGAAAGACTACATGAGAGACTTAGAGTAAATACTAGCCTGCTACTTACATCAAGTAAAAAAGAACAACAAATATCGTCTGATTCTGGTATTCTTTTAAAGACACGGCTATCAGGGCTCTTACAATTCGTTAAATTTCTCGTGTACCCAGCCCTGGTTAATAGCAGCCCTGTTCGCTTGGGCAGCGCAAATTCTGTCGCGCCCGAATTCAATTTCAATAAGAATTAAAAATGTTTGAAACAGAAGATATGCTGCCACGAGCGGCTCCCAGACCAAGTGCACCTATACCTTTGGGCCATACTGATGAGATTGTTAAGCCGACGGTGCCTGAAGTTTCGATATTGTTCGGGCAGCAGCCGCCGCAGCAACAAGCTCAAATTCAGCAACAACAACAGCAAGCTCAGGTACAGCAACAACGCCCTGCAACTTTCGCGTCGTGGAAGAAGCAAGTGTTGCCTCGTGTCAACTTTTCTCCGGTGGTGTCAACTGAATTAGGCCCAGCCACTCCACCCGCTGCCACAGCTGTAGCAATCAGTGGGGTTGTTGGCGGAAATGAGTATAACTTTCTACCGCGCAGTCGCGCCTTCGATGCGCAGCAGGCTAGCAATCTAAATCGAGGATATGCAGCATCTGCTGCCTCACACTATCCACGCGAAACGTATGCCCCAGATGAGCTGGTGTCTACCCCTCGCTCGTCCAACTCCAATGCAACTGCAACTGCAACTGATGTACTTACGATTTGTGCCAGCACACAAACAGAAGCAGAACCTGTATCAGCTGTCAAGGATCACAGGCCAGAATCTGGCAACTCAATAGATAAGAGTGATATTAAAGAAATACTGACACTATTGGAAACTATGCGCCAGGAGCAACAGCAATTAAGACGCCTCTGCGAGTCCCTGGCGCAGCAGCAGCAACAACAGCAACTGCCAAGCGCAAAGACCTTCAAAGAAACTGGCTCTCAGTGCGTGCTTCTTGGTCCACCCAAAAGTAAGTTTTTAATACAGGTGATCATAGACTAGATATCTAATATATATATAACGAATCTTAGGCAATGTTCCAATGGTCAAGCGCACTACACCCATTATTCACGATTATATAGTCGAAGAGGAGGAGCTGCCGGCTAGAGCTTTGCCACAATTCCAGTCGCCACGTACTGCACCTCCAATAGCCCAGTCCACCGGATATCGCTGTAATACGCCACAGAGTAAACAATCGCCCGCTTTGCCTGTCAAATCGAACACGGACAAAACATTGGTTATGAACGAGCTGGCCCTGAAGTATTTGCCACAACGACAAATCAACGAATTAATGGACGATTTGCATGTTTCACCCAAGCCTGGGAACGAGGTCGTTTCAAATGGAACCCCATTGCGCGCCATTGACAATTTCAACCAGAGTCCGAATAATATGTCTAATGCTTCCTATAAATATCTCAAGAAATATCGTCTTCTGCCCGAAGAACAAATGGGCTACGATCATCATCAGCTTATAATATCATCGCCGCAGGCCAGGAGCCAGGAGCCCATGCTGGACTTGGATAACATACGCAATCAGCCAAAGCTATTGTAAAAAAAACCGAATTTTTTCTTTATTATAATATATATAGTGTATATTTTTATATAATTTTTTAATTTGTTTTGAAATTGTTTTTAGTACCATATAATAATTATAACTGCATCAACTAAAAGCCGAGAAGTACACACAAAATGAAATTAGAGAACAAACATATATAATGGTGAATTTGATTTAGCGCAGAACCAGGTTCATTTCCGATGCCGACTGTAGCAAGACTTTCAGGCCCTGCATGAAGCCAGCACACTGAGCAAAGTCCGTGCCAAAGGCGATGCGCTGGTGCACCGCAAGGGCATTATTATAATCGGCTATTTGTATGAACTGCACAATTTGATTCAGTTGTTGCACCGTTCCTGATGTGAGCTGTTGAAAAGATAAAGTACAATTATTTTGTGTGATTAAAAACGTAACATAAAACATTATCTGTTTGCTTACCCGTTCGTAGCGCAAGCAATCATAGAGATTTTCCAGGCGTTTCACTACATCCACAAATTTTCGTTTGGTACGCTGTTGAGCATTAATCTGATTAATAAAATTGGTCTAGGAACAATTTGTAGTCTACTTACCGCATCATTAGTTGCGCTCAAGCATTGGTTTTTCAGTTCCTCCAAAACGGTTTGCAAATAAATATACTCCTCTGGCAGTGGAGGCTTCTCCTTAACGGGTTCTGGCTGACGCTGTTCCTGTACCGGAGCTGGTTGCTCGGTATAGCCGAACGATTGCTGTTGTTGTGGCTGCCCAGGCCAGAATTGTTGCGGTTGTGATTGTTGTTGATTAGGCACCGCCGATGGCTGGAAATTCATTTGCTGCTGTTGCTGTGGCGGAAAAGCCTGTGGATTATTATTGACAGCAGGATTGTAGAACGAAGTAGCAGAAGGTGGAGCACCCTGCTAAGGAATAAGAGAAATAATTAGTGCTTGGCTACGCTTGATAAAATGAAAAATACAGGTAAATATACCCTGCATTGGATATGGGTACTAGTATAACCAAAATAATACCTGATATTGATTAGGATCCATATAGCTGCTCTGATTTTGATTGGGATCGCTGCCGTATAATGGATGCAATATGGGGGCTGCAGCAGATTCTGTTGCTGGTCGTGGCTTGGGCTAAAATCGAAGAGTTCACCGTGGATATACCATATATGTATATTAACATATATAAATTGCAGTACTTACCACTCGGGAGGATTTCAAGGCTGGTGGATCATTCCAGCCGGGTGGAGGAGTTGGATTACGTTGTATATTCTGCACCAATGGTGGCGGTGCAGCGGCAGGCGGCATTGTCTCAATGGGTGCAACACCTGGTAGGTAATTATTTTGTGGGGCCCCAGTGAATGGAGTCGGATTATATTGCTGAGCCGAAGATAGAGGATTGGTGTTGAAGGCGCTGCTATTATTTATCAGCGGCACTGGAGCCGGCTGCGAGACGGGAATAGCTGCTGGAGCTGGTACTGTATTGTAGGCCATGCCATAGGGATTGTTTGATGCCGCCACCGAAGGATCCAGAACGTATTTAGATCGCGAGTGAAGTCCTGTTGCTGGTGTAGCTGCAGCATGCGGAGCTCCACTTGAGGAGCTGGCATTGCTAAGTGGTCGCGGCGGATGCGTTAGCGGTTCAGCTTTCATTTGAGGCGGATTGAATATCTGTGTGGGTGGCTGAGCTGGCTGGAAGGGGGCCGGAGCCGGCGGTGCTGCTGGTTGTTGCCAGCTGCCATTTGTCGCAGCAGCGTTTGGATTGTATGGATTATAGAGCATTGAATTCGCTGGGTTTGAGAAGGAGCCACGAGGCTCCATTTGGCGCATATAGCCCATAGGAGCTGCCGTTGCTGCTGCTGTAGGCTGCACCTGATCCACACTAACCGCTTTGCTGATACGTTCACGCAGCTCATTCAATTCCTCGCTATCCGCATTAGCTCTGCTCAATGTGGTTATATACTGCAGAGCAGCGGTCAGAGCGCCCTGGGAGGCGAGCAGTCCACTGTACTCCGATATGAAGCCTGCAAATCTGCCGGCTAGGTCCACAGCAATTCCCTGCTGTTCCAATGACTTGGTCAGCAGCATCACCACTTCGGCCAACTCCTGCAGCTCGTTCGTATTCAACTTGTAGTTCTGATTCTGTTGCTCCAGTTGCTTCAGCTGATACCAGGCAGTCACCAGTTTGTCAATGCTGCCGGCACAGATATAGCACAGCATGGCATTGCGTGTCAGCTCGATGCTGCTGCTGCTGGACTCGTTTAATAGGCGATCGCCCAGTCTCTCGCATATGTCCACCACTTTGCGCTCGCTATGCTTGAGGGCAGCAACCAGTGCTTCCTTCCAAGAGTCCACGGTGCAGCGATTGACAAAGTCAAGCCAATCGCGCGTGACCAAGGCCGAGATGACATTCGACAATTCATTCTTTTGCTGCAGCAAATAACGTGTCTGCGTGCGTGTCAGAGTCTCAATGCCCGCTGTCGAGGCGATGATCAAAGCCTCTGGTATACGCTGCGCCTCCAGGCAGAGCTCGACAGCTGCCTCCACATTGCCGGTGAGTATGGCCTCCGTAATCAAGCTGTCGGTATCTGCAAAGTAAATGATTTAATAAATCTCTATATATATAAAAATAGAGTGTATTCACTTACGATCGCCGCTGGGAATCTTAAATTGCGGTCTGGCTGCAGTTCCATAATCATTCAAGGTCTGCTGATCGATCGAGCCATCAAATGGAGTTTTATTGTCGTTCGTTTGCTAAAGAATTGTATATAAATTAATTTTTCTACTAACTTGAGTGTAATCGTCATTAGCAATAATTGAGAGTGAGATTTTGTTAATGAATTTCTTGCGCATCGAATTTCTTACCGAATTATCGGTGCTTGAGTTGGTGCTTTGATCGCATTCAACCTCAGATGAATCGCTCTACAAAGCAACCGAATGTTGGGCAAGCATGACAAAAAAAAAATACTTGGTTATCAGTGGAATATACAAGACGCAAGATGAACAGAACTGAAGCAATGCCCAGATATTGATAACGTAATATGGGACAAGAAATAATATGTTTATATGCTCGCAGAGAGATAAGAGCTGACAATAGAGAAAGGAAACTCACATGTGTAAGGGTTGATATGCGAGTCGTGAGCGTATCCACGTCAGACTGTGAGTTGCTCTCTTCGGGTTCTTTGATGTACTTGGTAAATTTGCCATCGATGTCCTCCTTATTGTAGGCTGAAATGAGAGCCATATGAGAATTATGTCATTTCGGTGTGAATGACGTGTTTACCTAACAGGTTGAGCATTTCTTCCTTTGGGTTCAATTCAAAGTTTGCTTTGATGAAGTACCAAATGTAGCGGCCATGCTGATCGACAGACTTGTCTGCTCGTTGCCTGCAATACTCGGCATAGTCAGCCTCAGCCAGGGACGCTTCCAGAGCATTGGCACGTTCCACGAGTTCGGGCTCAGTGGTCAATTGGGATACCGTCACCGTCTTCGATAAATTATTGAAGCTAACTAACTTTCCACCAAACTGTAATTGAAACTCCAATTAGTTGGATACAATAAAACAGATCCTCAGTTATACTCACACCAAAGGACACACCGCATGGGCGTTTCATCCACTTGGGTGCGCGCGACAAATCATGGTAGACAACTTGCGTCGCCTGCTGAGGCAGCGGAGCTTGAGCAAATTGATCCATGCCTGGGAAAGAGTCGGCAATCTTCTCCGATGTCTGCACCAGCTGGTGTGTGCCACCATTGAGGGAGTATATTGAAACAGCACCTTCCAAACTGGCGCTGGCTATTAACGCTGGATTGCGTGGACAGAACTGCACATCTGAATACCAAGAGGCTGTGGTGGCCACCTCTGAAAGGATTTCGCCTTCAGGTATCTTAGTATTGGGATTCCAGCAGTAGATGCGATTATCCTTGCCACAAGAGACCATCAAGTCGGTGTCCTGCAAGCACCAGGACATGCCCAAAACTCCACGGTCGTGAATCTGATAGGTTTTCGTCGGAGCGGTGGCATAACGCAAATCCCACAGCTGCACCACCGGCGCCTGGTCGTCTTCCGAGGCCAGCCAGACCTGGGTGGCCACCTCCGGGTGCCATTCAATGGCATGCCATCTAACCCTTGACTGAGTATCGGACAACTTGATGATCTGCTGACTCTTGCGCAAGTCCCAAATGACACAACGAGTGCTGAACACTGATGCCAAGATATGTTGCACTTGCCGATTCCAAGCGACATTCTTCACATCCTCCAGTGGTTGTGTTTTAGCTCCCGGATTGAGTGGAGTAACTGGGTTGTTCAAATCCCAAATGTAAATCTCCGATTCAGACGCACACGAAGCCAACAAATTGTTTAGAAATGGATTAAAGTCTAAGCCACTAACTGCGCCCGTGTGCTTGTCCTGCCTTGCGACCAATGACTCCTCGTTGGCCAGCATCTTGGCAGCCGAATAGACATTGATGTGGCCTGCCTCACAGCCACCCACAATCAATCCATTTGCATGCGTAGCATGAGGACTCCAAATCAGCTTTTGAAATCTAAGAAGGGATATTTTAATTAATTAATTGAGATATATTTACATATCAGGTGCTTACTTGTAGTCGCTGGGCACACTAGCTTTGAGCTCCAAATCATAGCTAGCATCACCAATGCTCGGCGAATAGATCTCTAATGTAGCATTTGTATTTGAATCGAACTGCTGAGCCGCTGTGCCGGCAGCTAACAATATTTGTTGTTGCTGCGCTGGCGACCAGGCAATGTTCACCGTCTTTTGCAGCTCTTTGATTTTCATTGTAGTTGTGCTCTGCAAGTACAAACTCGTTTACATTAACTTAATGAAATTTAAAGCGAATTGTGATGGGACGTCCAATTGGAGCGCGCCTCGTCATCACTTTTTTCTTCTTCAAAAAACATTGGCGTGGCCAACTGCTGGAGCATGCCACATTATGTAAATGTGTACTGATTATATTTGTCAACTTACGCAGCTCTTTTATTTGTATTTTTATTGTTAAATAAAAACAATATGTATAAATGATTTATATTTATTTTTATATAAATAGGTTTTTCCAATCCGTTTTAAGAACTATAAGCTGTGGCACAATCGATATGCGGCTATCGAAAGCAGGTACCGAGGTCCACACGAATTTGCGATAAGCAAACAAATAAATATCGATGAATCGATTGTTATACTTAATGACTGCGAGTGTGTGATCTGTACGAGTATGTGTGTGTGTTATTCTAAAGTAAACAATCGTTTCGTTTTAAATGTAAATTTGAAGCGTTTGCTTTATTGATACAAATAAATATATATCATATATAATTTTATAATGATAGATGTGTGCTACATATGTTTATTATATCGAGCTTATTTATTTAGCATTTGTTACAGCCGCAACTCTTTGCTCAACTTTAGCGACTTTAGCAATGATTGTTTCCAAATTTTGAGCAAATGTTTCCTGCACAGAATGTAAAAGCTCCTTATTATTGACCAAACTGGTGGTAATAGTGCCCTGTTTTTGCTCTATTTCCGCTATAATCTTAGCAAAATTGTTAGCTGCAAAGGGAAAATGATAAAATTTTATATCGAGACAATATTGTATTCACATATATTTCTTACCATATTTATGCAAAGCTTCGAGTGCTTGCATTCTTTCAATAACATGTGGCAACATCTCAACAACTGGCTCGGTACGTTTGGCCAGGTCGTAGAGCTCTGCAACCTTCTGGTCACGCTTGGCGTCCTGTGTGCTGCCGCTGGACTTCTCGGCAATTGCATCCATTTTGCCAGTTAATGTAGTCAGGCGTTGCTCAATCGCATCCAGTTTGTCGGGTTGGAGGAGAGCAGCCTTGGTGCTCAAATGCCGCACCGCCTCGAGCACATTGGATGTGTTAGTAACGGCAGTGAGGCGACTGAGTTTCTCGGGATGAGCACCTACAGCCTTTTCCAGCTGATGCAGACGCTGTTCGAGATTCGCTATGCGTGCTGTCGCTGCCAAATCCGTACCAGGTGTGGGCAGAGCCGTTAGCACACCCGATTGCTTAAATTCCTCGACTTGTGCGACCAGTGCTTTTACTTGCTTGTCATTGGGGGTTTGCTCTTTGCCCAGCACTTGCTCAAGCTTCAGCGTATCCAATACTCTCTTGGCTGTGCTTATCACTGTAGCGACTGCATCATAGGACTTCTTTTCTTCGTCGGCAATCTTTCGATCTACTTGTAAAGCGGCCACTTCATCGAGCAGTTCGTTCATTTCAATTTGCAAGCGTTGACATTTTTGCACTGGCGTCTCCTTTTCACCTAGGCCCACCAGCTCATATTCCCCGCCTCGAACATCGTAGCCCCGGCACAAGCGACGTCCAATTCGATCCGTGAAGTCGACGTTTCCTTCAAGCGTTGCATTGCTAAAACGCTTGTGGGCGATGCTTGGCGAGATGTGCAATCGCTCAATAGCCTCGTTTTCCGGCTCCTCTTCATAGTAATCAGACGTGTCAACCTCCGGATCGTCGGGAGTCTCAAAAACATCCGGTTGGTCATAAGCCTAAAGAAAATACATATATAAAATATGTATGTATGTAAAAGCTATGAGTAATTCCTCAAGTTTGTAGCTTACAATGCCGGGAAGGTTTTGAAATTTTGGATCGGCCATTATGTTGGGCACTGCGCTTTCTTATCTTCGACAGTTTATTGACTAGTTGCTATTTTGCGCAAGTTTGCAGAAAGTTTTCCAAATCAAAATTGGACAGCAAAGCTAAAACTGATGTCATAGACAAAGTGTGGCCTCAGCAATAAAAGAAAATATACTGCGAAAGCAGTAAAAACAGCTGTGCTTAAAAAAATACTGTTTTGGAGTAGTAGAACTTTTGAATATATATAATTTATGTACTTTTCGTGCGTTTTAAATTCTACAATTTTGTATTTACCTTTTTCATTTTTTTAGGTGAATTCTTAAAACGAGTTGTAGCGACACCCGCTAAAAGTTACAAATTTCGTCTAGGAATACCACCAATGATGACGCGTGGTATTTTTGTACAATATACTAAACGGTCACATTGCCTAATAGTTCTAGTTGGTTTAGTGCTGGTCTAGTTGAACTAAAAGTTAGTTTATTGGGGCTTGGAGTTTAGAATTAAAAATTATATATTTATATTTATATATACTTATAGAATGACGTCCTTGGACTATTGCCCATATAGCTATAGTGATCTGCCCCTAGAGGTAAGCCCATTGTTTTAACAGTAGTTTTCTGTTACTCGTGACCGAAAGTCAGCTGACAGAATAAATGATTTTGATATTTGATATAGATTGTTCTGCATATATATAAATATCTGGGCTATTCGGATTTGTTGGCAGCTGGCACGACCTGTCAACGTTGGCGAAGTGCTCTATATCATACTGAATTCATCGCACGCACCCGCGTACGCTTCTCGAAGACTGTTTTATCGGATCAACATAGTCCTGCGTTGGATTTGATGCGATGTGAACGACGATTTCGCCACTTTCTGTTCGAGGATGTGACGCTGGGCCAGGTGCAGGAGCTGATGACATTCATCGGCGAGTCGGCGCACTCCTTGAGCCTGGATAATGTCGATCTGAATGACAAACAATTCTATGGCATCTTGAGCTTGTTGCCCCATTTGCAAGTCCTTTCCGTGACAGTCTGTTTGCCTTTGTTCATGTCCGCCTCGTTTTTGGATAGCAATTCGATTGACTTGAATGAGATACCGGCACATTTGGCTAGCATCAGAGAATTGACTATATGCAAAAATCAATATCTAACGGATGCTATAGTACAGAGATTAACAGCCCTAATGCCCAATTTGGAATTGCTGAATATGTCCGGCTGTCAGATCTCCTTTCACAACGCCATCTATCGACGCTTCTATCCAAACGAGCCCAGCACGCCCAGTGAATCGGTGCTGACATTCAAATACATACAAAATGTGATCAGCCAGCAGCGAAGAGTGCTGCACACTCTCAACTTCAGTCACACTCTCATCGGCCACTCGCTGATGGCTCTCATTGAGTTGAGCAAGGTCGACGAACAGGCTCAGCCCGGGCTGCAGTTGCGACGTCTCTATTTGGCGGGCTGCAGACAACTGAATACCTCAACCATACGCAGCTTTCTCTACACTCAAGCTCAACTGAGAGTTCTGGATCTGTCGTCGACGCTGTGCCTGAATGATGATTGCGTGGCGGTAATTGTTCAGGCAAATCCCCTGTTGCAGGAACTGAAGATCAATGCATGTGCCGGCATCTCGAATACAGGCGCCGCAAGTTTACGCAATTTGTCTCGATTGAGACTGCTGGATATATCCAATTGTGATGGCATCAATAGCAATGGAATAATAGAGGGCATTGCTAGTACAGAGAATAATGTCCTCGAGGAGCTGAACGTCTCTTATCTGACCATCTGTGAGGAGTCCATCAAGTCAATAGCCAGGAATCTGCACGCTCTACGCTCACTTCATCTCAATCATTGCGTCAACGCTGTCACAGATGAGGTAATGCAGCTCATAATCCAACAACTATGCTGGCTGAGAGAGCTATCGCTCGAAAGCTGTTGTCGGGTGAGTGGAGCATCTGTAATGAGTTCCTATACATTTATTTGACTGATGATTATTATTTTCTTTTAGCTAACAGATGCCGCCTTGACTGGCATCAATATAGCTAAGCTAGAACTGAATCGCAGCTCTGCTATAGGAAACACCTACCCACCGTCCGATGGATTCAGCGGCTCGTTGCAGTCGATCAAGATATCGTTGCGAAGCAAGGCGGAGGAGGAGATTGTGCGGGATGCGAAACGTAAGCAGGCAATGTTTGCGGCCTACGAGATGAATCTGATCAACGACGAGGATTTCGAAGGCCACAATATACAAGAGCTGCGCGGACTACGGTCGCTCAATCTGCGCGGCTGCAATAAAATCAGCGATGTCTCCCTGAAATATGGCCTCAAGCACATTGAGCTCAGCAAGCTGTTGCTCTCGAATTGCCAGCAGATCTCACTGCTGGGGATAGAAGCCTTAGTTAACAACTGCCCAGCGATTGAGGTACTCGATCTATCCGACTGCTATAACATCAGCGATCAGGGCATTAAGATCATTACGGAGAGGCTGCGACGGCTGCGCTCGCTGGACATCAGCGGCTGCAGCCAGTTGACAGATCACACGATCGACTCTATAATTGTGAACTGTGAATGCCTGGAGACATTGTCCATCTATCGCTGCCGTCGCATGTATACGGATATCGAGGAACGCTTGGCGGACGTGCGCACACTTCGCAATCTGCATACGGACAATGTGAATATCATCGATAGTGCCGATTTTTTTTGCGTGAAGAAGCGACTCGATTGCTGATATTTTATTGCAATTTTCGTTGTATTTATTTTATATTATTTTCAATTATACAATTTTCGCTAGTCAAAATTTAGCCTAAAAGGCAATTCGAATTGAAAATGAATTATAATATAGAAATGGCGCTTTTATAGTATATATATATATCTACTAAATATATATATATGTATCGCACACAGATATGAACAATATGCTCGTTAAATGTCCACCAAGCAATTAGAATTTAACTAACTTTTATCTAAGCAAAATTTAGGTGTTAAACATGGATTAATTAGCTGTGATTTTTAAAGAGAATTTTATGAAATTTAAAGAAAAACATTAAATTATGTGATTTGATTTTATAAATAAGTTAACATATTTTATATTTATTGATGTTATCAATGTGTATTTAATAACAAGTAAGAAAGCTCTAGTCGAGACTGCTCGACTACGAGATCCCCTGAACCCTACAAGCAACTAATTAGCACCCACACACGCACTCATGCAAACAAATACACGCACACACACACACTCACATATACAGGCGATTTCGCTTGGGTTGCGCTGCA